GGACTACATTAGGGCAGGAGATTGAGACTAGCCTAGCCAACATGGTGAGACCCCGTCTCTACCAAAAACACCAAAATTAGCCGGGTGTGGTAGCACATGCCTGTGATCCCAGCTACTCAAGAGGCTGAGGTGGGAGGATCACTTGAGCCCAGGAGGTCAAGGCTGTGGTGAGCTGTGATTGCACCACTGCACTCCAGCCTGGGCAACAGAGTGAGACACTGTCTCAAAAATGGTAATAATAATTAAAAATAATAATATAAAGAGGCCAGGTGCGGTGGCTCACACCTGTAATCGTAGCACTTTGGGAGCCTGAGGCAGTCAGATCACCTGAGGTAAGGAGTTCAAGACCAGCCTGGCCAACATGGTGAAATCCCACCTCTATTAAAAATACAAAAATTAGCTGTGCATGGTGATGCATGCCTGTAATCCCAGCTATTTGGGAGGCTGAACCAGGAGAATTGCTTGAACCCGGGAGGCGGATGTTGCAGTGAGCCAAGATCACGCCACTGCACTCCAGCTTGGGCGACAGAGTGAGAATCCATCTCAAAAAATAAAAAGAGGAATAGTTTTAGGTTTACGGAATAGTTGAGTGGAAGATAGTTCCCATATACCCCAGCTTACACCCTCAGCCTCCCTTAATATAAAAATCCCCCACCACAGTGGTACATTTATTACAATCAGTGAGCCTAGCTTGACACAGTATCACCCAAAGTTTACATGAAGATTCACTCCTGATGTTGTACATTCTAGGGGTTTTGACAAATGTATGACAGCATGCATCCATCATTAGAGCATCAAACAGAGCAGTGTCACTGCCGTAAAACTCCTCTGCACTCTGCCTGTTTATCCCTCTCCCCCTCCAATGCCTGACAACCACTGATCTTTTCACTGTCTCCATAGTTCAGCCTTTTCCGGTGTGTCCCCTAGTTCTCACATTGGCTTCTTTCACTTAGCAATATGCATTCACGTTTCTTCCATTTCCTTTCATGACCTGATTTATTTTGAGCACTGAATAATACCATTGTCTGGATGGGCCACAGTTGATTCATTCACCTGCTGAAGCCCATCTTGGCTACTTCCATGTTTGGACAATTATGAATAAAGCTGCTATAAACATTCATGTGCAGGTTTCTGTGTGAACATGTTTTTAATTTATGTGGGTAAATACCAGGGAGTATGATTGCTGAATCATATGGTAAACTGCCAAACTGTCTTCCAAAGTGGCTGCACCATTTTGCATTTCCACCAGCAATGGATGAGAGTTCCTGTTGCTCCACATCCTCCCCAGCAACTGCTGGTGTTAGTGTTTTGGATTCTGGCCATTCTAGCAGGTGTGTAGTTGCACCTCCCCTTGTTTTAATTTGCAGTTCCCTAATGGCATGCAATGTGAAACATCTCTTCAGATGCTTATTTGCTTATATCTTTTTGGTGAGGTGTTTGTTATGGTCTTTGGTACCATTGTTACTTGGGTTTTTTTTGCTAAGTTTTAAGAGTTCAAAAAATTTTTTTTTCTTTTTTTTTTTTTTTTTTTTTTTTAGATTTTAGCATTGTTATTAGAGATGGGGTCTGGCTTGGTTGCCCAGGTTGGTCTCAAACTTACGGTCTCAAAGGATCCTCCCCTGTCTCAGCCCCCTGAGTTATTGGGAGTCATGCCTGGCTTCAAGAGTTCTTTTTCTATTTTGGATGAAGTCCTGTGTCAGACATCTTTTGCAGATATTTCTCCCAGTTTGTGGTTTGTCATTTCATTCTCTTGACAGTGTCATTTGCAGAGCATTAAGTTTTACATTTTAATAAAGTGTAGCTTGTCAATTTATTGTTTCATGGATCATGGCTTTGGTATTATGCTATATCTAAAAAGCCATCACCAAGGGAATGTAAATTAGCCATCAATTAACCACTAGGGAAAACAGTTTAGCAATAAATGAGTGAAAAAAAATTTATAAGCCATCATCGTACCCAAGATAACCTACATTTTCTCCTATGATATATTCCAGGACATTTCTAGTTTGCATTTTACTTTTAGGTCTATGATCCCCTTTAGTAATTTTTTTTTTTTGAGACGGAATCTCACTCTGTCACCGACTGGAGTGCAGTGACGCGATCTTGGCTCACTGCAACCTCCGCCTCCCAGGTTCAAGCAATTCTCTCGCCTCAGCCTCCTGAGTAGCTGGGATCACAGGTGCTTGCCAGCAAATTTTGTATCTTTAGTACAGACAGAGTTTCACCATGTTGGCCAGGCTGGTCTTGAACTCCTGACCTCAACTGATCCACCTGCCTTGGCTTCCCAAAATTCTGGGATTACAGGCATGAGCCACAGTGCCCAGCTCCTTTTCATTAATTTCTGTTTAGGGTGTAGGGTCTGTGTTTGATTTCTTTTGCACGTGTGTATGTCTAGTTGTCCCAGCACCATTGTTGAAAAGACTGTCTTTTCTGCATTGTGCATCTTAGAAAATGAGTTGACTATATTTATATGGGTCTATTTCTGGGTCCTCTAATCTGTTCTATTATTTGTCTCTCCTTTTACCAGTAACACACTGGTTTGGTAACTGCAGCTTTCTAAGTCTTCTAGTCAGGTAGTGTCAGTCCTCCAACTCTGCTCCTCTCCTTCAGTATTGAATTGATTATTCTGGGTCTTTTGCCTCTCCACATATACTTTAGAATCATTTGTTAATATCCACAAAATAACTTGCAGGGATTTTGATTGCAATTGCATTGAATCTATAGATCAAGCTGGAAAGAACATGTTGAAAATACTGAGTCTTCTTATCCATAAATGTGGAATTTTTCTCTATTTGTTTCTTCTTTTTTCATCAGGGTTTTGTAGTTTTTCTCATATATATAGAAAGAGTACACATTTTTTTAGACTTGTATGTAAGTATTTTATTGTTTGGGGGTGCTAATGTAGAAGTATTTTGTTTTTAACTTCAAATCCACTCATCCATTGTCGGTATACAGGAAAGTGATTAACTTTTGTATATTCTGAAATCTTGAATAGTTGTTCATTATTCTAGGGGGTTTTCTTGATCCCTTTTTACACTTTCTACCTGAAAAATGTCATTTATGAACAAAGAGAGTTTGTTTCTTCTTTCAGTATCATTAAACTTTAACTTCCTTTTCTTGCCTTGTTCCATCTGTTAGAGCTTAAAGTGCTGAAAGGAGGTGGTGAGAGCGGACGTACGGACCTTGGTCGTGATTTTAGTGGGAAAGTTTCTACATTCTTACTACAGTATATCATGTTAGTTTTGAGGTCCAGTGGACAAGGAATGGCCAAGTGACACAAAAGGCCTCAACTGATATTGCAAGGACTTGCTGACAGTGAGAGGTTAGAAACACAGAAGACCCCACCCACACTGTGAGGTCCTGAGAACAGCGAGGGGTCAGGGACAGGGGAGACCCCACCCACACTGTGAGGTCCTGA